TTTTTTTTTTTGTTTTGCTTTGTTTTTGTATGTCTTCAAAAATAAACAGATTTTTGTTTTCAAAGTTGGTGTTTTTTTTTTTGCGGATGATGGCAGTGACACTATAGTGGGGAGTCTCTATTCAATTTATACTACTTTTTTCTTTTTTTTTTACTGTATTTATATCATTGAAAAAAATGAATGACAACAACAACAAAAAGCTTAGATTTCCAAGAAAACGTATACCGTAATCAGCTATAATTTCTTCCCCTTTTTAAGAAAAGTATTGAGATAGAATTTACTGTTACTGCCAACTTTTTTGTAGGGTTTATTTCAGTTAACAACTGCTGACTGAATAAAAGTGGTGAAGCTGTACAGTGATTATTGTACTTAGTTTTATTATAATTATTGTTCTTATTGTTATTATTATTATTGCGGCCACTTATTTGTTTGTTTTATAGTGCCACGAATAGGTGCCGGTTTTGGATTGAACTGTATCAATCCAACACAAGCAGCTATGCATGGAATTCAGTTGCCAATGTCAACACATGCCGGCTCTAGAAGGAAACGACGGGTACTGTTTTCGCAGAATCAGGTAAATGCGTTGGAGCAAAAATTTCGTCAGGGCAAATATCTGACAGCACCAGAACGCGAAGCATTGGCTAACAGTATTGGATTGTCGGCAACACAGGTCAACAAATTCTTTAACTTTTTTTTTTTTCTTTCTGTTATGGTTGCCTATATCGATTTTGGGAAAATGACACTTAACTTTTATTGATTCGTTAGTTAATTTTAAAAGAAGAACTTTTTTGAGGGAAGAGGGGATACGGGAGTTGGGGAAGGGAGAAGAGGAAGAGAGGGGGATTTCAATAAATTATGTTATTTGTTGTTTTCGCTATTTTCGTGTTTCTTCTTCGTCATCTTTCATCATTTTTCTTTTCCATAACTTCACTAGTTTTCAGATGTTCATTGTCATTTGAGCATTTATTTTTAACTATCGCCAATTAATAATAACTCTTTGTATGTATTTGTGTGTGTCCGCCTGTGTTCTGTGTCTGTGTATGTTTGTGTCTGTGTCTGTGTGTGTGTGTCTGTGTGTTTACATCTGCGTGTATTTCAGTGTGTGTGTATGTGCAAATGTGGGTATTTTGTGTTTCTATGTTTATTTTGTTCCAAAACAAATTGTTTAACTTCGTCAAACAGTATGCAAAAAGAAAAGAAAATTTTTTTTTTCACAACTCTGAAAATCTGTTTTTTATGTCACTTCTTCTTCACCTTTCCACTCCTCTACCGTCTTTGCTTTAGATGATGAGAAAAAAATTAACCTATGCAGAAGAAAAAATGAAGCATTAATTTACAGTTTATTCATTGTTTTTCTACGAGACAGTAATGTAAGCATTATATTTGGTTATACTATAAGTTGTTCAACTCTTTCTGACTTTTATCTCGGATCAGCAAATGTGGTCGATAAAACAAAAAATGAAAAAGAAAAAATAAAATTGCTTTTGTTTAGGTGAAAATATGGTTTCAAAACCATCGTTATAAGTGCAAAAGACAAGAAAAAGAGAAGAAAATGTTAGATGGACGGACAAATGATGAAAGCGGTTCCAGATCCCGCTCCCCAACTAATAGTCCAAGCGATAATTTACATGTTGAAGACAAGTAGGTTTTTGGATGTTATTTTTTTCAGTATTACTGTGAAATCGGATTAAAATTCTTTGTTGAACACTGTGAACACAGTTTGTTTGTCTGTTTAGTCATCAAAAGAAAAAAGATTTTTTTTTTGTCATGTTCTTAACCAACCAACCTTTTTTTTTTGTTTAGGAAGTCAGACAGCTCATTGTTGGCAAAAGAGATAAAACGGTGTGAAGATTCGCTTGGTTCTCCGGATTCCAATTCTGACCATCTTTTCAACGTCAGTAATTTGCCAGATGTATCTGATATTAAAAACTATCAACAGGTAATGGTACTGT